CCAGTTATTATTGAGCTGAGAGAGTTTGGGGCAGTAAGGCCGAATGTGTCCTGGCTCTCCGCAATTATAGCAATTGCTATTATTATTATAATTTGGTCGATTCCATGTTGAGCGTTAATTATTTCCACCATTTTGCGGTCGACTTGTCGTTTCCATTTGTTCCAATCTACAAGCTAGTCCTTGTAAAATGGTAGTGATATCATTGAGGTTGCTGTTTGTATTTGCTTGGATTTGATGATATCCTCGGATGGTGGTGTCAGTGTCCGCTCTTTCTACATTTTGTGCAACTTCTATCATATTTGCCAATGTTCTGTCAGCGGTCACCTGTACCCATTTTCGAATCTCTGGTTTCAATCCTCGTCGAAATGTTCGAGTACGGTAATCCACTGGATAATTGTTCTCTGGATTGACCTTTTGAAGAAGTTCGATGAACCTGTCAGTGTACGTATCGACACTCCCGTCTTGTTGCAATGTTTCTAGTTCATCCTGTTATTGATCTACTCATTTTTGTGTTTTGAATTTTAATGTGAAATGGTGTTTGAAGTCATGGGCGTCATGATGATTGTTTGTCCAATCATTTAATCTAGTGTTATCTTCTCTGGCACGTTCGTCAAACCATGCAGCAGCGGATCCTTTCAAGTATCCACGAACTACTTGAATTTTACGATTATCAGTAATTTTGTTTGCTCTGGCCACCACTTTGAAGTCACGTAACCATTTAACCGGGTCTTGATCGTTTCTCTTATATTTTCGTATGAGAATAATTATTTTCTCAGTGGCTCAGTTGTTCTGTGCCGTTAACAAATTCGTCAGTTGATTTATAGCGTTCAAAACATTGTTTATGTTTGCCATTTCATCTTCTTCTGGTTCTGGAGTTAGTGTTTGAGTTTGATATTGTGGTGATGGGATTTCTTGTTCTTCAAAAATATTGTTATTAATTAAATTTTTCTCGTTTTCTTCTGAATGTCTTGTTTCAGAATAATAATCATCCAAATTATTCTCAACTTCTTCAATATTAATGTTCAGGGTTATACGTTTGAAATTTCACGTATCTCTAAATGTGTTTAATGTATTAACGACTAAACGAATTTGATCTTCAATAAAGAATGGTCCTTGGAAGAGTAGTATATTCAACAATCTTACAATCCTTTGACGAATTCGGATAGGATGTATTTCGTCCTGATTATGTGTTGTAAGCTCCTCAAAGAATTAATGAGTGAGTCCTGTATAGCTAATAGCACTATGAGTTGCTGTCCAAAGGATAAATCTATAGAAGATCCAGGAGTATTCTTCAGGTGGAGGATAACAATAACCACAATAAGGTTGTTGTATGACTGGTGTTTGATCCTGATTGTGCTGTCCAAAATGTCCTTTAATTAATATTCCAGTAAAGGTATAATATTCATTCATATAAAGAGGGTAATAAGAGATATTTAAAATTTCGTGGGGAGGGTATTTCTAATAATTAATAAGAGAATTTGTGGGATTGATTAAAATTCACAGAGGGAGCACCAAAATGTTACGACTACTCTTTAATTATTGTAATTAAAGAATAATAGATAACATAAGTTGTCGAGCTAAGACTGAATGATTTACTTAAAGAAAGATTCTCTAAAGGTTCTAAAGATCTCCTGTGCCAATCTTTGCGAAGATTGTAATTGATACAATTTAAAGGTAAGAAACTTTAATAAAATATAATTAAATAACTTTAATA